TCACTCTCTCTCACATCTCAAAGACAATAATTTGGATGTTAATGATGTATGCGTTTTGGTGTATCTCAAAGACACCAAAAAGCACACATCATTAACTTTCAAAACATTGTCTTTCTCAAAGTTTGCCGTCATCAGTTCAGTTCTAGTTTCGTTTTGGATTTTGTGTATTTAAAATATTGTCTTTCTCACTTTGGTGGTTCGATTATGATCAGGATCCAAAGATCTCAATGGTAAGATTTTATACATCTTGGGATCTCATTTTAATTTTCATATGACAACTGTCGTGATTTTTCTCAGTTCTTGTCATTTTGTTGATCTACCGTTGTAGGCTATCAAAATAAACAAATAAGTAAATCACAAAAAGAAATACAAATTAAGACGATGGTTCACAGAGAAGGCAGACGTATAAATTGAATAAATACGACGGTAATTTTAACGTCAGGACATGGTAAATAAATATTAGACGTCGCTAATTAAACAAACCGACATGGTTATTAAATCTTGATATATAGTAAATATGACGTGGAAATTCTTATTTAGACGTCGTTATCTACTCTTCTGCTATCATGGTTCTCTACTACTTTATATGACAGTAGTGTTGTAGGTACCGTCGTAGTACACTCCAAAATAATAAGTCGATAAATTTATCTTTCACGTCATGGTACATTGATTTAACACAGCGTTGTTTTGTAATATACCGACGTGGATTCCATTATATTATACGATGCGGACTAAGAACAGTTGGTCGTGTTTAGTTAGGAGTTAACACGGCGGCTTTTTTGTTGAACCGTCGTCTTTACTTTCCATGTCGGTGGCTTCATACCTGCTGTCGTTGTTTTTTGATCAGATTTTAACTCTGAACAAAACCTTTTTAATAAGACGACACTTTTTTATTTGGGTGCGTCGTTTAAAAAAAATATTCAAGCGGACCTCCATTTTTTAGGTGTTTAAGTCACTTATCCACGACGGTTTTCTATTACCGTCGTCTTTCTAAACACAACGACGGTATTTTGTTCTACCGTCGTCTTTTTCTGGTCGTCTTATTCACTTTTTGCAGTAGTCTTTTTCATTATATGGGTTTTAGCAAGGAAGATCGAATTCGACTTCTTTTCCAAAAGAAGATTCTTCAGGTCGCGGAACATTCGTTGGTCGCCAAGCCAACAAATGTTCCAATTGAAGACTAACATTGAGAACGGGGAGACCTCTCAAAGCTAGTCTACTATGTCTGTTTAGAAGTATCAATAAGGCAAGGACGTCTTTTACTTGGAACTGTAGAATCGGTCGACACTTCTTCTTCTCGATGCACAACTACCTTTCTAGCTTGCGTTTCCCATCACTTATGACATGTCGGTGCATTATCGTGTTGTCAGTGTGGAGATCGTCTTTTTATAGCCTACCTCGACCCTTTTTTTGCCCTTTACCCTCCGTCAGCTTAATCAGGGGCATAAAATTGAAAGCGTCAGACGTAGAGTCCTCAATTTGTTCATGAGCTACATACCCAACATTAGGTTATAATTCAGTCATTGTATTCTTGTGAAGATTATGGGCGTTACCCCCAGACAAGACCAAAGACTGCGATTGATAGGCAGCCATCGGATCAACCTATTGGGCTTTTTCTGTCACAACTAGTGTTGTTGCAGCTTTTTTCATAGCAGCCTCCATAACCATATGCGAAAACTCCACACCCAAACTGTTGTGGCACACCTCTCCACCCAAAAATTCTTCAACCAGCAAATTAGACGTGACATGCCCGACCTAACCTCTGCGAGCATCTAACCTTATGTCGGCCAATGAGGGTTGCTCCCCTACCATAATAGCCAAACGCCCAACTGTCTCTGCCCCCTGTTGTTGCCTTGTGTTGCTCGGGGATAATACCATGGTAGCCCTATCACCTCTATCCATACTAACTGATCGGGGAGACGACGTCGCAACTTTATCTTTTGAAAGATCTTTTCGCCATGAGCTTTCACCTGGGGAAGACTTGTCACTAGACCGAGTCACAAAATTAAACCCAAGAGCACGCCTAGCTTGCTTAACCAATTGGTTTGCCAACATATTTTTGTCCCCTTCCAAACCTGCATAGATAACCATGAGTTGACTAATCTCCCAAGGATTGAGCCTACCATGCATCTCTTCATGTTTCTTTACGTACTCTCGAGTTGTGTGATCCATTATACCACACACAAAACAAAATTCAAGTAGATACTCATATTGAAACTTACTTGTATACGAATAAATCGCCCCACACAGTCGTCCCCATCGCAGTTATCCACCCATCAAACATCACCAAGTGTCACTCCAATTGCCTTAGCAACTACAACCGTCATACAAAACGCAGGCACCCTATGCAGTTGAACCCAAAGGGTACCATGGGTCAACGACATGGAACGTACGCTTGTATACCCAACGAACACTTAAAACCAACAATCGCTTGTATACCCAAGGTTCCATGTCCAAGACCCTTTTTTGATCTTGTGCTTTTATGAAACCTCATCTATACCTCTGCAAAGTCCAGAGAAGGTCTACACAAAGTGGTCGACCTTCACTTCATGGATCAAGAGAACCTCCACCATCAAACTGTGAGTAAACCATAGGAATCGATCTTAAATCGGAGAGTCCCGAATCACAACACCTGCTCGCTCCCGTTTTGTTGACATCAATTGCCTCCCGAAAGATTGTTCTGTATCATCAACTTCCATCCCTTCAGACTTGAGACAGAGAAAACATGAACAACACCCCCAAACTCTAAGGACATACTCGAGGTAAAAGGGAAACTCAAGTCTGTCAAGAGAGCACGCAAAGGAGAAGAGAACAAAGAGAGACCAACACGAAATTATCAGAAATTGTGTGAAAGTTCAGGCAAACCCTAGAAAAACCCTAGCTGCCACAAAACTCTCCTCGCAAGAAACGAGATAGCGACGCCTTACCAAGAAGAATAGCCCTAAAAAAACAAATATAGTTTTTAAGTTGTTTGGTATGTATTATAAGTTAAATGCTAACTTTAGTGTAGTTTAATTTTGTACTTTAATAAGAAAATATTCATTGTTGTGTGACATTCAATAAAAGTTAAACTATAAATAAAATAGAAATCCAAGACAGATAAAAAGTGTGGCCTAGCTTGGTCGGTCAAGTGATAATTTGTACATAGTGGAGGTTGTGAGTTCAAATCCTACAAATGGCATGGTGGTGATGGTCGAGGGTGGTCCAGTAACAGTTCGAGCGGCGGTTGGCGGGGATCAGGTTTTCAGCGACCCCTTTTGGTCATAGCCAATTATGATCGGCAGGAGTCAGGGTGTCGACAGCCAGTAGGTAACGGCGGGGTCAGGGTGTCGACGGCCAGCAGGTAACAGCGGGGTCAAAGTGGCGGCAGCCGGCGGTGGTCCATGTGGTGCTGGTGCCCTATAAACCTAAAAGGGGCAAAATAATCTTCTCCCCTATAAATTTAAATGGGCCCATTCAATTTGGGCCTGCTTATTGACCAATTACAAAAGAAAATTCAAAACCCATTTACCAAAATACTTGATTTGTAATATCTTAATTATTAAATCTTTTGATGACTCTACACTAATTTTTCTGTTGAATAATGCCTCACCGGCAAGTAGGAATTATTTCTGCCTATACATCTCTTGACCACAAGGACCACTGCAACTGTGCGCTTCATATTGTGGAAGCTGAGGCCTTAGACAGACCCGTGTACTTTACCGTACCCTCTTCTTCAACTAGTTTCTTCAATTCCCCGACCTTTTAAAAGAAAATAATTAACATAAACTTCTACATTTAATTCACATATATATATATCCTAAAATATAAATACATCGCATACCTATGTTATAACACATGTAGATAAAAATTTATGAGAAGAAACAAACTGTGACTTCGATAGGGACACATGCATCGATCCGGTGTTGATAATAGAGATCAATGGAATTAAGCTCCCTCACAAGCAGCTCTCACATGTTGAGGGTCACCTCTCAACTCATGTACGTTGTCCAAACAGTAACCAAACTTGGTCGCCAATTCAACCTTCTCTCTTACCCCACCCCATCATAGCCTGCTCACCCAAACCCAAAATAGCTCATCTTCCGAAACTAGTTAGCAATGAGTGAAGAGGCTCAAGATTGTTTACATTAAACTTTCATTTTCCAATGTGAGATAATACTTGCTACACTAGGTACCTCACGTGACGTACCGTGAGATTGATCATGTTAGGTTCGGGCTTTGAAGCGCCATACAAGGCGGATCGGAAATGCTATAATGATGGGGTTGTGGGGAGAAACACTTGTGTGCAACGGGTGATAACTTTTCCACTTGGCGTAGCGTGGCTGCGTGGTTGGACGGGGATAGCAAAACAATGCTATATTCGTTTCTTATAAGTTTTTCCTAGGCTGTGGGAGGGGTTGAATCCCACTATCTGAATAGAGAGAAATTATTGGACTTCAACTTTTTTAATGATTGAATGGTTAGATTGAACCCTCATTGTAGAAGCTCCAAAGCGGACATGCCCATGCAGCCCACAACTTGAGCTGCGACCTCAAAGCCTTGTGACCCCAGTTTGATCCTTTTCTCCAAAATGATGTGTCATTTTTTTTTGGTCTGAACCACGAGGTGGTCCTAGATGGGCCCCAACTATGGGTGGCACCTTTAAGCCTTAACCACAACCCAGACTAATTCCCGCTCACACCGGATCGGCCCGTAAGGGGTAAAGTGCTGGTCAAAGTGGTGACTCCGTACAAGAGCAGGGATCGAACCCCTGACCTCTCTTAAGAAATGAGAGTGCCGAACCACTAATGATGTGTCATTTGGTAACAATATTTGCACCCCTTTTTTCTGATATATCTATGTTCGCTTGAGGTGAAAAATAGGACCAAAACAACGCATAGTTTTTCGTTTTTTGGCAGGTAATGTCATATTTTCTTATTCTCTCGAATATTACAAGTCAAAACATTTGAAGCTAAAGGCCGAGTCATGTCCTAAATAAATTGAAAACAAATCAAACTATCTTTTCGCTTGATCCCAGGTGATTCCTTACTTTAAAATACTCAATACAACATGATGCAATTTACGTACAAAATGTTTGACGTCTGAAAGTCAAGCAATCACAAAGTTGAGGAGGTACAAAGCGGCATTTATTCTAAGTATGACATGATGAACGACATATACTTATGTGGCTTTCCATGAAGACAGTGGTGGAGTTTCAGAGTTGGTCCAAGTAGTACTGAAGGCACTCGGATATCTGTCACCTTTAACAGCATCAGCTGAAGCAAAAGATTCAAGCTCAGCCAATTCTTCTGGTGTCAGTTTCACAGACAGAGCTCCAATATTCTGGTTAAAATTCTCAATCTTTGTGGTTCCGGGTATCGGACACACATCATTTCCTTGGTGATGAACCCAGGCCAGTGCTAGCTGAGATGGGGTGCACCCTTTCCTTGCAGCAAGATCACTAACCTGCTCGAATAGTGTTTTATTATGCTCTACGTTTTCGGGTTGGAACCTGGGGTGATGCTGCAACCATTGAACTAAACAATTCAGAATCAAGACTAAGTTTGCTTGATCAAAATGACATGATAAAGATGTACAACAATCCAATGGACAGAAATAAGCATGACCAGAAAACTACAGTTAACTTTCTAGGATCAGGAGAATCTCATGGGCAACCTTTCTTGCCAATTTATTTCTTCAAATTATAGTGAAGCATCAGAGAAACCGACAGACCTAAATGAAAAATGGGAGTGTGGAACTCTGAGAAATTTTCCTTGCCACCACAAAACATTATAAAATAAAGAATATTAAAGCAAATTAGAACGTTAGTGGGCTCTGACTGTCTGGATGAATGACAGCTACTTAGGTACTAACGTTATAAAAGAAATTTTGTGCTCTAGCCAAGTTTTTGATGGAGAGAAGACTGCTGAAAAAACTCAGTAAGAGGACACTAGGAGAGACTACTAAGCTTTGCGAGATGAATTATCAAATTGAGATCTTGCAGGGGAGATGGAAGTTCAGGAAATACACAATAGTAGCATCATGATGATACCAAGAAAATTTTATATGGCAGTTTGGTAATTTAAAATCGAAAAAATTTGTGAAATACCAACAAACCTTTCGAGAATCATCATGGGAGAGGTTTTCGACGAACTTAGCGCCTGATGAAAAGAATCCTCTCCCTAGAGGACTGTATGCAACAATACCAATGCCAAGTTCCCTGAGAAATTTAGGCGAGATAAATTATAATGAATTTGATACCTATTTGTTATTTACAAATAAAATAGTTATATCAGTTCAATAAAGCCTCACCGGCAAGTAGGAATTATTTCTGCCTCGACATCTCTCGACCACAAGGACCACTCCAACTGCACAGCTGTTATTGGATGAACAGCATGTGCTCTTCTTATTGTAGAAGCTGAGGCCTCAGATAGGCCAATGTACTTCACCTTACCCTCTTCAACTAATTTCTTCAATTCCCCTACCTTGCAAAAGACATAATAAAGGAATTTAAAGAATCAAAAGAAAACGCTCAAAAAAAGTTAATCATGATGCAAGTCAGTACCAAATGAAAAAAAAAACTCAGTCTAGTAAGAAAAGAGAACTAGCTTCAAGATAATCAATACTACATTTTATGATACTCTAGAGCAAGTCCCAAAAAAAGGATGCAATCACATTGAGATATGAACTAAACTTTCAAAAATTACAACTAATTTGCCATCACAAACAAGGGGTTCCTGTTATATGAGAAATGAGGTCAAACCATGACTTCTGCAAGGTAAACCACAAATTAAATCAAATTGAGGAATTGATAAAACATGTGACTAAAAGTTATACAAGATGTTGTAAAATCTTTGAATAAACATGACTTTACTAGGCCTGCAGATGCATATTGCTCTGTAATTGCTACTAAAGGAGACCAAATCTCAAATAGGGAAGAAGACAAACCGTGACTTCTATGGGGACAGTGGTGTCAATCCGATGCTGATAATAGAGATCAACAGAATCAACATCAAGGCGCTTCAAGCTACCCTCGACAGCAGCCCTCACATAGGCAGGGTCACCTCGCACCTCCATCTTCTTGTCTGCGAAGTAGATGCCAAACTTGGTGGCCAATTCAACCTTCTCTCTTAACCCTCCCTTCAGATCCTGTTCCTCATCAATCCAACAAAATCTAGTTCACTTCATCATCATCAATCACAATTAATTGAAAAATCTAAACAAAACCCAAAAAAGCAATTACATTTATCATTGTCTCTCTCAATACTTGTGCTGGCTGGCTTAGTATCTTAAATACAGGAACCAGAGTGAACACAACCCAATTCACTTCATCACTAATTCATCCCATTCAACAATGCAAACAAAACCCACAAAACAATTGTACGAATTATTGTCTCTCAGTGCTTGTGCTTGATTTAGTAACTTAAATACAGGAACAAGACTGAACCAAAACAAACCCAATTCATTTTATCATCAACTCACCAAACAAACCCAAAAAGCAATTGATACAAATTATGAGCAAATATTAAGAAGCAAAGTCAAGGTTAGTGGCGTACATTGCCAAGCAGAATTTCGTTGGTGAAGGGGCCGTACATGTCAGAGGTGTCGAGGAAGGTGACGCCGGAGTCAATGGCATGGTGGATGAGACTGAACATGTCTGCGTCTGGCTTCGGAGCGCCATAGAAGGCAGACATGCCCATACATCCCAGGCCTTGAGCAGAGACCTCAAGGCCTTGTGAACCCAACTTGATCCTCCTCACTCCTGCCATTTGCTATCTGTGGTTTTTTTTTTTTTTTTGGTCAACTATCTGTGGTTGTTTCAGTTTGGTTCGTATATTTATATTAGCAGAAAGTGAAAACTTCAAACGAGCTTGCCAATCAGCAACAATTCAACTTGATCCTCTCTCCCATCAACTTTTCTTATGTCTCTTCCTCTTTTGAAATATCTGTCTGGTGAAACTGCGCTTGCCTATGAATATTCGAGAATTCTACAGTGCGCCATGCATATGGATGCGCCACTATTATAGACCATTGGATAAGTTGTTGTGGGATGTGAGGTAATCTACACCGTTGATAGTCAGTGACTGGTTAAATGGGTTGCTCCAGGTAAAAGAAAACCAAAACAAAAGAAAGAAATCTGAAACAAAAACAAAACAAAATAAAGAACGCTCAGAGACTCCTACGACTCCCCTCTCTCTTCTTCTTCTTGGCACTGTCAGTCTTTGTTCCATTGTTGCTCTCTCTTCTTCAGTTGGGCTTCTTGGTTCGAACAACGGTAATTGTTAGATATCAATTTGTCGATCTTGAAGTCAGTCTCTCGCTCTCGCTCTCGCTCCCTCTTGCTCTCACTCTCCGTCTCTGTCTGTTCGCTTCATCATTCTCTGTGCTCTGGAAATCGATCTGTCATCAGGTGAGTCTTTTCCTTGCTCTTTCTCTCTAGTTATGCTTCTATGGGTCAATTTAGGGTTCTTAAGTTTCGGACCTAACTTTTAATCAATTGATTTGGGGTTAGGGTTAGTGGGCTTATGATCAACCTCACTTTAAAATCCTCAAATTAGGATTGAGTACTTGAATGAAAGCAAGAGAACCCCATCTGAGTTTAGCAAGACAGCCCCATTTCAGTGAATAATGTATTAACTGTGTTGAGCAAGACAGCCCCAAGCTCATCACGCTCATTCCATTCGTAAATTTTTGCCTTGGTAAAGAATGGATTGGCAGAAATTAAGTCCCAGATTGGAAAATCCCTCCTTGGGATCAGAAAATTTCCTTTGTCAAGCTTCAAACCTGCACAAAAATCAGGAGCTCCATCCCCAACATAGATGAACTATTTATGTTTCTTCCTATCTGTTGCAACAGAAGCTTGGATCTTTTCCATTATTAGACCCTGTAACAAAAGAAACCCCACAAACATACTAAACCAATGTAATTAAACTTGTGATTTTGATTTGGGGTACTTAAATATATGCAATTAGTTTAGTTTAGTTTAATCACCTTGCACATGCTGGGAGGGCAAAATGGTACAGCCATGAGAAGATGAGTGGAAATCATGGTAGGGTAAGATTCTAAGCCTGCCCTGTTCATCAATAATGCATGGGTTGGTGTTGATTTCTGAGAAACAATCCATTAGCCCATGATTCTTCAATATTGTGTCTATGAAAAATTCATTTGTAGCACTTAACACCCTCAGATCACACCTGCATGTGTTATAATTAGAATTTTTCATAACAATTATAGCATAATTTGTTCTGTTTTGTCATATCATAATAAGGAAAGGAAATTATCCAAAAGCATGGGCTGATTTTTGACCTTCTCTCTTACCCCTCCCATCATAGCCTGCTCACCCAACCCAAAATAGCTCATCATCCGAAACTAGTTAGCAATGAGTGAAGAGGCTCACTAGTTAGCAATGATTGTTTAAATTAAACTTTCATTTTCCAATGTGAGATTATACTCACTACACTAGGTACCGTACGTGACGTACCTTGCCAAGAAGAATTTCATTTGTTAATGGGCCATAGATGTCCGCGGTGTCAAGGAGGGTGACGCCTGCTTTGATGGCGTGGTGGATGAGATTGATCATGTTAGGTTCGGGCTTTGAAGCGCCATACAAGGCGGATCGGAAATGCTATAATGATGGGGTTGTGGGGAGAAACACTTGTGTGCAACGGGTGATAACTTTTCCACTTGGCATAGCGTGATTGGATAGGGATAGCAAAACAGTGTTATCCTCGTTTCATATAAGTTTTTCCTAGGTTGTGGGAGGGGTTCAATCCCACTATCCGAGCAGAGAGAAAATATTGGACTTCAACTTTTTTAATGATTGAATGGTTGGATTGAACCCCTCATTGAACCCCCTCACCAAAATCCCCCTCATTATAGAAGCTCCAATGGGGACATGCCCATGCAGCCCAGACCTTGAGTCGAGACCTAAAGGCCTTGTGACCAGTGGCGGATCCAGAAATTTTCATTCCGGGGGTCAATCTTTTCATAGTCCTCGAGCAAACAAAAACCTAGAACAAGACTCAAAACAATATTTCCGAACATTTTCCACATTAAAAAAGAGAGGAAGCAAGGGACCGCATTAAATTTAAATTTTAAAAAAAATACAACATCATGGCGCACTTCCTGACTCCACAATGGGCTAAGTATGAAAAATGATTTTTCGGCATAATAATTTTCTCAAGATAATTTTTGGCGGCTTTTATTCCTTACACATCAAATAAGAAAACTTGATTTTATGGGATTTTATTATGACGTATATATTGACTTAATGAGCAATCATTTTTAGCCTAAATCGTATTTTGTACTAAAACCGATTTTTCATATTTTGATTTGGTGAGAATTTGATTTTCTAGTATTTTTATTTGAATCCAAATGGGGGGTACTTCCTTATTTACATTGTAAACTTAAGTAAATGGAGTAATATAAAAATAAATAAAAGTAAAAGGACAAAGAAATTTACTTAAATGCTGAAAATGAAAATAAGGAAATCTGCATTTTTTCATAACTCTCTATATACAAATTACAAACTAACATAACTCTGAGTTGGTTTGGGGAGGGAATTATCAAGCAGGCAGCGACGACATCGTTTTGACATCGAGCGAAAAGAAAAAAGAAGAGGACGCGCGTGCGCTGGGTGCTGCGCGCAAGGATGCGCTGCGCAAAGGCTGGAGCTGCACACAAGTTGCCCCTTTGGGGCATTTCGTCGAACACCTTGCGAGGGTCAAATTTGGCTACTCTAATGGAGGATTTCAGAGGTTGCAGGGGTCAATTGACCACCCTTGCTCCTCTGTGGATCCGCCCCTGCTTGTGACCCCAGTTTGATCCTTTTCTTCCTTACCAAAATGATGTGTCATTTGGTAACAATATATGCCCCCCTTTTTTCTGAATTTATTTATTTATTATTTTATATAAATCAAAGATCCATGTTCGCTTGAGGTGAAAAATAGGACCAAAACAACGCATAGTTTTTTGTTTCCTAAATAAATTGAAAAGAAATCAAACTATCTTTTCTCTTGATCCCAGGTGATTCCTTACTTTAAAATACTCAATACAACATGATGCAATTTACGTACAAAATGTTTGATGTCTGAAAGTCAAGCAATCACAAAGTTGAGGAGGTACAAAGCGGCATTTATTCGAAGTATGACATGATGAACGACATATACTTATGTTGCTTTCCATGAAGACAGTGGTGGAGTTTCAGAGTTGGTCCAAGTAGTTCTGCAGTCACTCGGATATCTGTCACCTTTAACAGCATCAGCTGAAGCAAAAGATTCAAGCTCAGCCAATTCTTCTGGTGTCAGTTTCACAGACAGAGCTCCAATATTCTGGTTAAAATTCTCAATCTTTGTGGTTCCGGGTATCGGACACACATCATTTCCTTGGTGATGAACCCAGGCCAGTGCTAGCTGAGATGGGGTGCACCCTTTCCTTGCAGCAAGATCACTAACCTGCTCGAATAGTGTTTTATTATGCCCTACGTTTTCGGGTTGGAACCTGGGTAGATGCTGCAACCATTGAACTAAACAATTCAGAATCAAGACTAAATTTGCTTGATCAAAATGACATGATAAAGATGTACAACAATCCAATGGACAGAAATAAGCATGGCCAGAAAACTACAGTTAACTTTCTAGGAAATCAGGAGAAGCTCATGGGCAGCCTTTCTTGCCAATTTATTTCTTCAAATTATGGTGCAGCATTAGAGAAACCGAAAGGCCTAAATGAAAAATGGGAGTGTGGAACCCTGAGAAATTTTTCTTGCCACCACAAAACATTATAAAATAAAGAATATTGAAGCAAATTAGTGGGCTCTGACTGTCTGGATGAATGACAGCTACTTAGGTACTAACGTTACAGAAAGAAATTTTGTGCACTAGCCAAGTTTTTGATGGAGAGAAGACTACTGAGAAAACTCAGTAAGAGGGTACTAGGAGAGACTACTAAGCTCTGCGAGATGAATTATCAACTTGAGATCTTGCAGGGGAGATGGAAGTTCAGGAAATACACAATAATAGCATCATGATGATACCAAGAAAATTTTAACTGGCAGTTTGGTAACTTAAAATTGAAAAAAATTTGTGAAATACCAACAAACCTTTCGAGAATCATCATGGGAGAGGTTTTCGACGAACTTCGCCCCTGATGAAAAGAATCCTCTCCCAAGAGGACTGTATGCAACAATACCAATGCCAAGTTCCCTGAGAAATTTAGGCGAGATAAATTAGAATGAATTTGATACCTATTTGTTATTTACAAATAAAATAGTTATATCAGTTCAATAAAGCCTCACCGGCAAGTAGGAACTATTTCTGCCTCGACATCTCTCGACCACAAGGACCACTCCAACTGCACAGCTGTTATTGGATGAACAGCATGTGCTCTTCTTATTGTAGAAGCTGAGGCCTCAGATAGGCCAATGTACTTCACCTTACCCTCTTCAACTAGTTTCTTCAATTCCCCTACCTTGCAAAAGACATAACGAAGGAATTTAAGGAATGAAAAGAAAATGCTCAAAATAAGTTAAGGGGTCTGTTGGGTGGATGTGGCTAGGGAAGGGGGTAGAGATGGGGTGGCTGAGGTTGAGGCTGGGGGAGTTGGGGATGGGGTGAGGTGGACTGTGTTATCAATTTTTAAATTTTTTAGTTTTTAATGTTTTTATTTTTATTTTTAATTATTAAAATATTTAATTATTTTGTATCTATGTAGAAGTGGGCTTTACTTGCCACGTCATCAAAGTTAACAGACTTTTGGATGAAGTTGACGGCATCAAAGTTAACAGACTTTTGGATGGAGTTGACGGTAGGGGACAAAGTGGGTTACCAAATCTCGGTTAAGGGATGAAAGTGAGCAATTTGAGTTTGAGGGGGCAAAGTAAGATTTGACCAAAATTTCAGGAGGCATTGGTGTAATTAAGCCTTAAATCAAATTGAGGAATTGATAAAACATGTGACTAAAAATGATACAATATGTTGTAAAATCTTCGAATAAACATGACTTTACTAGGCCTGCGGATGCACATTGTTCTATAATTGCTATTAAAGGAGATCAAATCCCGAAGAGGGAAGAAGACAAACCGTGACTTCTATGGGGACAGTGGTGTCAGTCCGAATCTGATAATAGAGACCAACAGAATCAACATCAAGGCGCTTCAAGCTATCCTCGGCAGCAGCCCTCACATAGGCAGGGTCACCTCGCACCACCATCTTGTTGTCTGCGAAGTAGATGCCAAACTTGGTGGCCAATTCAACCTTCTCTCTTACCCCTCCCTTCAGAGCCTGTTCCTCATCAATCCAACAAAATCTAGTTCACTTCATCATCATCAATCACAATTAATTGAAAAATCTAAACAAAACCCAAAAAAGCAATTACATTTATCATTGTCTCTCTCAGTGCTTGTTCTTGGCTGGCTTAGTAACTTAAATACAGGAACCAGAGTGAACACAACCCAATTCACTTCATCACTAATTCATCCCATTCAGCAATACAAACAAAACCCACAAAGCAATTGTACAAATTATTGTCTCTCTCAGTGCTTGTGCTTGATTTAGTGACTTAAATATAGGAACAAGACTGAAGCGAACCAAACCCAATTCAGTTCATCATCAACTCCTCCAATTTAACAGCCCAAACAAACCCAAAAAGCAATTGATACAAATTAAGAGCAAATATTAAGAAGCAAAGTCAAGGTTAGTGGCGTACCTTGCCAAGCAGAATTTCGTTGGTGAAGGGGCCGTACATGTCAGCGGTGTCGAGGAAGGTGACGCCTGAGTCAATGGCATGGTGGATGAGACTGATCATGTCTGCGTCGGGCTTCGGAGCGCCATAGAAGGCAGACATGCCCATACATCCCAGGCCTTGAGCAGAGACCTCAAGGCCTTGTGAACCCAACTTGATCCTCCTCACTCCTCCTGCCATTTGCTATCTGTGGTTGTTTCAGTTTGGTTCGTATATTTATATACGCAGAAAGTGAAAACTTCAAACGGGCTGGGCAATCAGCAAGAATTCAAACGTGCCGGCGCCAGATCCTCTCTCCCATCGACTTTTCTTGTTTTTTTTTGTCTCTACCTCTTTTGAAATTTCTATCATGGAACTGTGCACAAATACCACCTGGACTATTAGAATGTGTGGTGAGCCTGCCTATGAATATTTGGACAAATCATGCATCCACAGAGGTGCAGCAAGCGTCATGTCTGATGCGGAAGCCATTGCAACTGTTGGTAGCCATTCAGAAAATACCATGTCAAAGAAATAAAATGAAAAACTTCGGTTGACCTATTTCATACTTTTCGGTACTCATACAACATGATGAAATCTGTGTACAAAATGACCAACGTCTCAAAGTCAGTCATAACATAACTCCTAACGGTAAGAAAATTCACAAAGCTCATGTGGTACAAAGCAGCATTATGACATGACAAAAGGCACATGCTCATGTGGCTTTCCATGAAGACACTGGAGGAGTTTCAGAGTTCTTCCAAGTACTAACGTCATTCTGATATCCGTCACCTTTAACGGCATCAGCAGAAGCAAAAGATTCAAGCTCAGCCAGTTCTTCTGGTGTCAGTTTCACAGACAGAGCACCAATGTTCTGGTTAAAATTCTCAATCTTGGTGGTTCCGGGTATCAGACACACATCGTTTCCTTGCAGCAAGATCACTAACCCGCTTGGAACCTGGGGTGAAGCTGCAACCATTGAACTAAACAATTCAGAATCAAGACTAAGTTTGCTTCATCAAAATGACATGATAAAGATGTACAACAATCCAATGGACAGAAATAGGCATGACCAGAAAACTACAGTTAACTTTCTAGGAAATCAGGAGAAGCTCATGGGCAACCTTTCTTGCCAATTTATTTCTTCAAATTATAGTGAAGCATTAGAGAAACCGAAAGGCCTAACTGAAAAATGGGAGTGTGGAATTCTGAGAAATTTTTCTTGCCACCACAAAACGTTATAAAATAAAGAATATTGAAGCAAATTAGAACGTTAGTGGGCTCTGACTGTCTGGATGAATGACAGCTACTTGGGTACTAACGTTACAGAAACAAATTTTGTGCACTAGCCAAGTTTTTGATGGAGAGAAGACTATTGAGAAAACTCAGTAAGAGGGTACTAGGAGAGACTACTAAGCTTTGTTAGATGAATTATCAACTTGAGATCTTGCAGGGGAGATGGAAGTTCAGGAAATACACAATAATAACATCATGATGATACCAATAAAATTTTATCTGGCAGTTTGGTAATTTAAAATCGACAAAATTTGTGAAATACCTGTTCACCCGTTTTGATTTGTTTCCTGTGATGGTAGGGTAAAGTTCCCCATTGTCTTGAAAACAATTGACTGGTCAACAAGTCAACTTTCTTTAGTATGCGAGCGTGCCACTGCTAGAATGAAAATCCTAACAGACTTCTTTAAAAATAAATAACTTGCGCCCCAAGTTACTAGTTTTTGAACAAGCGATTATGAATTTGGGTGAGAAATATCTCCCAAGTAAGTTCTTTTCCTGCCTCAGACTGGTGAGGACTTCACAATTTTTCACAATACAAAACTGGTAGTTCTGGCCAGAATAAATGATAACAGGGTGAGCCGCTTTTAGGCAGAACCCCCTTTTACAAAGCTTAAAAGGGAAAAGTTGACTATAAAAAGACAAAAAGAGGGCTGTGCTTCCATTTCTGTCTGGGTAGATGCCTCTGTTCTGGGCTGGACTAGACTTTCAACAGCTTCAATTGCTAGGCTTCAGCTGCAAATCGATACCAAAGCTTGAGTTTGGCAGAGCTTTAATCTATTTGAAGCCCTGAAAGGCTTTTGGATGGGCAGAATTGGGACTTCTCCAGTCTGAAAGGGGCAGAAGTGGCTAGACTTAAGCTGGAGCTGTATTGTGGTACCTGTGCTGCTTAGTCAGGGCTCTCCATAAATTTGTTGAGGTTTTCGTATTTGTGAAAACTCAAACTCTGTTTGCCTTGGCTTTGCTGAACCAAATTTGTAACGAGAGAAATCTCGTTTTGCTGGTTTGTGAACTGGGATTTGAATCAGAAGCTGTGTTCTAACTGTCTTTGCTGGGACAAAACAGTATGATTCTGCAAGCTTGTCGTGAA